GAGGGTTCCGTTAGGAAGTGAGGCAGGTTATAGGGATGGTTTGGAGGATTCTGGGGGCACGTTGCCATTGAATAAGGCAGGTTATAAGGATGGCTTGGGGGGGCCTGCGGGAATGGAGTCATGGAGTGGGGTCAATTATAGTGGAGGCTCGGGAGGGACTGGTGCAATGAGTTCAGAGGATGAGATGGGCTACGTAGATGTTTCAGGGAGGTTTGGAGCTCCAGGCTCACTGGCTGGAGCAGGACATGAGGCTGGACACAGAGGCCATGCAGCCATGGGGCACAGGCCAGGATACTGGGTAGCATCAGAGGGTAGCAGAAGCTCTGAGGATGATCCAGAGAGGGGCAGAGGGAAGGGGCTTGTGGATGCAGCAGGTCCTGGGGTGGGCTCTGGGATGGCCAGAATGCTTGGCACTGCAGATGGCATAGCACACAGGGACAGCCCCAGGGGCCAAGGGATGTCGGGGACTCAGGGAGGGCCACAGACCCTCTCAGATGGGCGGGATTCCACAACTGGTCTTGGGGGCTATGAAACCTTGGGGATCCCTGAGGCCTTGGGGGCTGTTGTTGCAAGGGAATATCAAGCATCAGAGAGCGGCAAGATGGTTCTGGAATCCCAGGGTCCTCTAGTGACAGAGGGGCTGTCATAGGAGAGGGTGGGTCTGCAGAGCAAGTAGGTGGTATGGGGATTTCTGGGTTTCTTGATGGTAAGGGGGCAGTGGAGGGTGAGATCTGGGAAGNGCTGTCATGGGAGAGGGTGGGTCTGCAGAGCAAGTAGGAGGTATGGGGATTTCTGGGTTTCCTGATGGTAAGCGGGCAGTGGAGGGTGAGATCTGGGAAGGGACAGCTGCTCTGGAGTCTGGACATGAAGGGGACTTCTGGAAAGTAGGTCCAAGGACAGCAGACAGGGGCAGAGTTGCTCGCCAGGAGGGGGTGGCTCCTCAGGGACATGGGCACACGCTGCTGGGAGGCAGAAGGATTCAGGGAGCAGGTTCAGGGAGCTCGGCAGGGACAGAGCAGGTTCTGGACAGCAGCTCCATGCCTGGTGGAAGGAGCAAATCAATGTCAGGGCCTGCCGATGGGCGAGGGGTGAGTAATGCCTGGGCCCCAGGCTGGGAAGACCATGGGTTTGGCCATGGCACCACAGGTGATGGGCAGCAACCCCCAGGCTCCAGGGATTCCAGTTCTCTGCAGGAGAAAGACACCACTTCCAGTGGGACCCGTGAAGGGCCAGGGGGCTCTAGGGGCAGGAAGGGTACACCAGGCCAAGAGGTGGCTGGTGGATGTCAAGGTTCAGGCCTCGGAAGGGACAGATCTGGTGGCCCAGAGGACGCAGGAGTCCTGGGCAAAGGGAATTCCACTGAGTGGGGAAATGGATTCACCCCTGCTGGGGAGTCACGACCTCGGGGGGCCTGGAATGGCTTAGATAGTCCCTTTGGCAGAAAAGGCTCTGGAGACAG